AAAGAAAAAGCAAAAGAAATGGTCACTGTAGATTCTGGTTCATTTTATCTTGTTGCCAGTGAGGAAACTTCTACATAGCATTTTATTAAACATATATCAATAAATAATTTGATTAATCATATTGTTTTACTTTTCTGGTGACGGGTTTGTCATTATGGAGATGTTATTGTTTTGCCTGGAACATTGCACACTGTAGCGTCACAGTGCCCAAGCCTCAATTAAACCAAGTTACAAGTCAGATCTGTGGAGGGGCGATTTATTTATTTTGGATAGCTCCTTGCAGGCACAGGACGATACTGAAATTTGGTGTCACAATTATCATAGCCTAAATAATTGTGATTAAAGATAATATTACGATCATTTTTATTGTTTCTGACAGTTCAAAATGTTTATGAATATGCATATTATAATTTTTAATATTGTAATAAGTAGGGCTGGGTATCATTAAGAAGTTGCCGAGACGATACATACCTCGATACATAGCCCACAATACGATACATATCTCGATACTGTGCACTTTTGGTTCGATACAATATATTTCAAATCGATTTGATACAGTTTAATAAAAAATAAAGACTTTTAGTATCATGGTTGTGATACTAAAAGTCTTTGTTCAACCACTTTTTGTGCAATGCTCATATGAAACACGCCGATTTTAATCAAAACAGTGAAAATGTAAAATGTGTCGCATAAACAAGTTTCCTTCTTCTGAGCAAGCAACAAAACTGTAGCTCTGTAACAAAATAATTAAGTAAAATATACCAAAAAATACTCTTGGTGATATATATACAGCAGCCCATGATATCGATACTATATCATCACATTAAACAATACGATATTTTGATATTTTTGCACACCCCTAGTAATAAGTTCCTTATTTAAAGCACTGTTATCGTGTACTTAGTTATAACTGAAAACAACAGTGATATGGCAGAAAACTTTATGGTTAAGCTTTTTTCTGGTTTTCTGCTTTTTTCTGGTTTATTGTCCGATTCTTAGCCCCTTGAGACACATCAACTTTTTCAAGAGGATCCTTGAAACCACGCATTGAACATACTGCTAAATTCTTATACTACATTTTAAAACATAAACCACTTCTTTTGCATTTCTGTTCTGTTATTCACTTATTTTTGGCCTTGTTTCACTTCATGTCTATTGTATGCCATCACATTTACAGACCTCACACAGCTCCTGCCTTGGGGTACGATCGGAGTTTTAAGAAGGGGAGGGGTGTGTGTGTGCGTGCATGTGCATTTGTGTGTGTGTATGTGTGTATGTGTGTGTGTGCGTGACTGGAGAGATGTCCCACTGAGGTGTCACCTGTCTGCAGCAAGAAATCCTGGACTCCGGGCACAACAATAGTGACAGGCCCCTCTCCCAACGCAGATGGCTTTGCTTTTCCCCCCACTAGCCACATTGCATCCCCTGCTTGCACCTGACACAATGTGGCACTTGACTCGCAAACATAAGTGATCATGCTGCACCTCACTTGCCCTACCTTCCACTGAAGAAAAAACAAGGAAAAACTGGCATCTTTTAGAAAATTGGGTCACCTAATATATTCTGATAATACTAAGACTACAGTGTAATTGCACTGTATTGTTGCTAAAAACTAAAACGTGTAGTAAGAGAATGAAAGTGCTCAGTGGTTTTTATAGTTTAGTTAAATACAGAACATTTAGAGTATTGTTTGTTTATCGATCGGACCCTTATTAACCAGATATAAGTAATAGGGCTGGTCAGTTATGGAAAAAATCATTATCACGATTATTTTTGTCAATATTGAAATCACGATTATACCAATGATTATTTTTTAGTTACATAATGCATTTATTCAGCATTTCTCTCCCAAAAAAACTCACTTTGTCATTGATAATTTACACAAAACTTTAAAACTGAAAATAAATATAGGCTACAAATATGTACCTTAGAGGAGTTTTGCAATGTATAAAACATAAAGTGAATAAAATATACATTGAACATGAAATTAGGCAAAGAAAAACATAAATGTATCCAAAATAAACTATATAGCCAGCTGTTAAAAATAAAATAAATATACTTATTTATATCAAAAATATCCCAAAATAAACTTTGTTAAGCTTTAAATCGTTTCAATTCGATTATATAAGTTTGGAGATTGTTTGACACACAAATCGAAATCGCGATCAAAAGTAATTAATACAAAATGGATAAATATACATATCAAATAGAAAAATCTTTTAGTAGCTTCACTGACAACATATAAAAGTCCATTAGTACAAAGTTAATAAATACCTTTCAAATATTTCCAATACATATATCCAATCCAATTCAGGAAATTTAGCCTTTCTTTTCGTCACTAAATCCGAACCTTTCCATTCCAAATATAAAATATATATATAAAATCATTCAGTACAATAATCAGAGAAGATTTATTTCATTAAACTTCCTTCTTTGTTCGGTTTTAATGGGTATCTCCAATTGTGTACTATCTGCATCTATTCAGAACTACATACTGCTTATTCGCTGGTCTAAACAAATCTTTTCTCCACTTTTTTCAAAACTTCCTCGGCTCTTCCCTATCCTCTCTGACAGCACAAAGTGGGCTTACATTTTTGACTGACAACCACAACAGACACCTTCCTCCCCTGCACCCCTGTGTTAATCCCCACCCATCCCGAGCACCCCCCTCTCCCTCTCTGTCTCTCTCCTTCTCTCCCTCTTTCTCTCTCTCTCTCCTTTTGTTCTGAGTGACGCTTGAAAGCCGCCATGTCAGCATCTTTTCCGTCTCTGATTGCCTTATTAGCCGCTGGTGGCACCCGCAGCTTTTCTCACACAGATGGTGAAGGAGGAGAAGAAGCTCCGGCTGGGTGAAGTAAGGGAAGGGGAGAGGGTAAAAAATGGCTGACTCGTGCTTGTTGTTGTTGAGTTCCCCTCCCACCTGCACTCAGGCTTGTTGTTTGCGTGGACACTGACACCTTGGGGCTGACACGCGGACACACTCCTGACACTGAAGGCTGTCAAGTGAACATATGGACTATGGCAGGGAGCAGTGCAGTTTAGCGTTGTGTTGTGTGAATGTGTTTGTGCTGCTGTCAGCTCTCCCTCACTCTGGGCATTAAACAGCTTTGTTTTAACCACACTTTGACTTTGAAAGGGTCTGATTTAAACATTGTATCATTGGATTAGAGATAAGAAAACTACACTGCTGCACTGGCCAGGATGTTATGTAGCTTTCTTTAGCTTTTTATATGTTGCTGTAATGTGCAATTGTAGTCATTGTTGTATTGAAATATTACCCTATTTATTTTTGATCACATTCTTCACTTTGACTTTGAATTATTGTGATTTCTGAAACATTATATTATCACTTAGCTTTCCATTTTCCATTTTATCCTTGTTCACTGACTGAATAGTTTAACCAAACCCGATAAAAGCCTAGCTGCACTTTATACCTTTGTTTGAAAATGTTTTTATGATAGTGGCATACAGTGTGTGTCATAAAATATCAACTGTATCTTTATTGAATAATACTGGACATAGGCCTAGTTTGTTCAGAAAATAAATGCTTGACACTTTTACCATCCAAGCCACTATCACAGTCTGTTTTTATTTTGTAGGTGCTTTAGGCATAGCAGAACAACATTTTAGATTTTAAAATGCACTGCCATTTTACGTTATTTTCACATGTCCATATTTGCATCATTCATCAAACTAGTTTAATTAACAAGTGTCCGGACGTATCTCACTATGTTTTACACATGCACACAGACACACACACACACACACACACACACACACACACACACACACACACATACATACATACATACATGTACACACACACACACACACACGCATGCACGCACGTGTGAGAACTGCAGCTGTTAGACCTCCAGCTTCTCCCAGGCAGCAGTAACTGGCACCTCACAAACATCAGGTATTATGTCCATTCCGATTATGGGATAGAGAGCTACATGCTGTTTGAAGCTGACAGCACATCTGCCTCCTCACTGGAGACTGACTCTGGCACCTCAGACAAGCATCTTATGAGCGATGGATTGTGGGAGCTGCCGTAGCATATTTAACCCTGTGCTTTTCCATCTCTCACACTTCATTCTTTATCAGCTTTCACTATCATATTTAAAACTGAGAAGTATGTTGGAAACTGGGTATAAGTTTGACAAGATAGACAGCCATTTTCTGTGGAGGCTATAAATGTCTGTGTCTCTCTTCTTTCAAAATGGCACACTCGGAGCTTTGAGTACTCAGGGAGCACAGGCAGTAACAACATGGCTTGTCATGTCCACTGGCCGCTTCCTCATATCACGCTGTGAGGACTTCCACAACCGATGCCAAGTTGACTCCAGCCAACCATAGCTTGGCAAGGCTGATGCAGCTGGCATTTCCTCCCCTATCTCATATTTGTACATTCAGAGGACTGTATGTGTGGTATGTTGGCAAACTGAATGTGCAATCTGAACCATGGTCCCTCTAATAAGTGGTAGATATTTGAATGATAGTTGAAAAGATTTGGCTTGAGAAATGCTGTTTTTCTTTTTGCCGGCTACTACATGAATACTGCTGAAATATACCATTTAAGATCTAATAGTGGTTTAACACGTTTACATCACATCATCACTATATGGTATTTTTATAAGATTGACCTTGGTATAACTTTGATTTTGGCTGTCTATTTTCCTCACTTTTTTATTTGTTTATATATCACTGCTACAACCCATACCCTTGTGGAGCTGAAGTGTTCAATACCTTCATTAGCCCGTGCGGTGAGGAAGACTATCTGTCACTGTCAAGATATGGATGTTGCCATTTTATTACTGCAGACCTGTGTCCTCTATAGGAACTAGTGACAATAATATGCTCAGGGTTACAGCACCTACCACATGCAGTACACTTAGGGGAGTAGAAGTCAAGGGTGTTCCTGTACTTAAACACATTATTGTAAGCGCAAGTTCTAAATTATCAGTCTAAATTCAGTTTCCTCCTTTTGTGTTTTTCAGCATATGGATCCGAAGATGAGTTCAACAAAGCAGACGAAGAGGAGCACATGCAAGACGACGGGCTGTCTCTGGACGGCCAAGACACCGAGTACTTGTTCAATGATGAAGAAGACCGCGATCATTTCAGCTGTCAGAACTCTCCGCTCAGCAATGGCACCAACCCCGACGCTGGGTACGCTTCCCCGCTCAGCAGCACCAGCGATCATTTGGGAGACCTCAAATCTACGCCCTCCTTTACTGACCAAGAAAAGGCCGAGGAGCAGCATGGTGAAAAGACTGAGCTTGTCAATGGCATGTCAATACAAGATAGTCTGGAAAAAATGAAGGCAGTCTATGCAAATCTTATTTCCGATGCCTCCTGGTCTAGCATCGCGATGGACATGCTCAAAAGTAAACAAGGGAACAATTTCGTGGCAAACAGCAGCAGCAATGGAGGGAATCACAAAGGAAGCAATGGGTTCCTGAATAGTCACAGCCAGAGCAGTGTAAACGTGAAGAACAAATGTAGCCCCAGTAACGAATCAACCACGTCAAATGTCACCAGCAGCAGCACCCCCACCAGGACCATGACAAACAACAGCAACAGCGCCACCTCTGCCAGCTCTGGGAACTCCGGTGGCCTGGCTTACGATTGGCACCAGGCAGCATTAGCCAAAACCTTACAGCACACTCCATACCAGCTCCTCCCTGAGCCTAGCCTCTTCAGCACCGTGCAGCTTTATCGGCAAAACAATAAACTCTACGGGCCGGTGTTTACTGGGGCCAGCAAGTTCAGGTGTAAGGATTGCAGTGCAGCCTATGACACCTTGGTTGGTCTGACAGTGCATATGAATGAAACGGGACACTACAGAGATGACAATAAAGATAAAGAGGACGACAGAAGCAAGAAGTGGTCCAAGCCCCGCAAGCGTTCTTTGTTAGAAATGGAGGGCAAAGAAGACGCCCAAAAAGTACTGAAATGTATGTACTGTGGCCATTCGTTTGAGTCATTGCAAGATCTCAGTGTTCACATGATCAAAACTAAACACTATCAGAAAGTGCCTCTAAAAGAACCGATGCCAGCGCTCACATCAAAGCTGGTACCTCCAACCAAAAAAAGGGCATTTCAAGATCTGATGTCCCCAAGCTCTCCAGAGTCAGTCTCGTCCAGCATTCCCATGGGGGAGTCTCCCAAAGACCAAAAAGTGTCCAACCCCTATGTCACGCCCAACAATCGCTACGGTTACCAAAATGGTGCCAGTTACACATGGCAGTTTGAGGCCCGTAAAGCTCAGATTCTGAAATGCATGGAGTGTGGCAGTTCACATGACACCTTACAACAGCTGACAGCCCATATGATGGTCACTGGGCACTTTCTGAAAGTCACTAATACAGCATCTAAGAAGGGAAAGCAGCTGGTCTTTGATCCAGTGGTTGAAGAAAAAATCCAGTCAATCCCCCTTCCACCGACAACAACAAGGCTACCAACTCCTAATGAGAAGTCACCACTTGGCTCTCCTGTGCCGCCTGATAGTCCTGAAAATAAAATGGAAGATGATAAAGAGGAAGAGGAAAAGATGGAAATCAAAGAACCTGAGAAAAAAATTAAAGAGGAGAAAGAAGATGTGACAGAAAAAGAGGATAAACCTGAAAAGGCAAAACCTTATGAGTATTTGACTGAAGAGGACCTGGAGGAAGCACCAAAAGGAGGCTTGGACATCCTCAAGTCATTGGAGAACACAGTGTCAAGTGCAATCAGCAAGGCCCAGACAGGCACTCCAACCTGGGGAGGCTATCCGAGCATTCATGCAGCCTACCAACTGCATGGATCCATAAAGTCTACCATGCCATCATCGACACAGGTTCAGCCTCTGTTCAGCAACAATAGTTTGAAAGTGTTACCTTCTGATTTGGGGAAACTTATTCAGACATCAAACAGCCCTTCACCGCCTCTGAGTCACAAGAGCAATGTGTTAGCCATGGAGGAGCTTGTGGAAAAGGTGACAGGAAAAAACTCTGTGAAGAATGAAAAAGAGGAAAAGGTTTTAGACAGGCATAACAGATTCACAAAGTCACCTATGACCTCCCCAAAAGACAAACGGAGCACTCCCAGTCCTGAAAATCTGTCCAAACCAGCACCAAAGATGGTACCTGATGACAAACCTCAGATAAAATGCAAAGAGGAAGAGCAGATTGATTCAAAGCCCGAAAAACAAGTTAAAACTGACGTCGCTTCACCCAAAAATTCTCTGACCAATGGCTGTAGCAACCTGAGCATCATCACAGACCACTCTCCTGAACCTCCAGCCGTGAACCCTCTCAGTGCTCTGCAGTCTGTCATGAACAACCACCTGGGAAAAGCCTCCAAAGTCAACAAGCCTTTTGTGGACCCCTTTGCAACATTATATAAACTCAATAACAATGCAACTCAAATTAAACAAGTGGAGCCTGTTGGTCTGTATCCAGAAGATGATGATCAGCCTATAGACTTAACTAAATCCAAGAACACCAATGGCTGTTCAACAAAGAGCTCTTCTATCGCACCAAACAACAGCAAGCCCATTTTCAAATCTTTCTCTAAGTCGCCATCACCTCTTCGGGAAAATGCTCTCATGGATATCTCCGACATGGTGAAAAATCTGACAGGCCGTTTGACACCAAAGTCCACCACCCCCTCCTCCATTTCTGAAAAGTCAGACAATGATGGGTGTGAGGAGAGTCTAGAAGAACTGTCCACAATCCAACGACGCAAAGGTCGACAGTCAAACTGGAACCCCCAGCACCTCCTCATACTTCAGGCAGAATTTGCCTCAAGTCTCAAGGAGACTCCTGAAGGAAAATTTGTAATTAATGACTTGGGACCCCAGGAAAGGGTCCATATTTGTAAATTCACTGGTCTCTCAATGACTACTATCTCACATTGGCTGGCCAATGTAAAATACCAGTTAAAACGGACAGGAGGAACAAAGTTCCTCAAGAATATTGACTCTGGCCAGCCCCTGTTCCTGTGTAGTGACTGTGCTTCCCAGTTCAGGACTCCATCATCTTACATACATCATCTGGAGTCCCATCTTGGTTTTACTTTGAAGGACCTTTCTAAACTGTCCATTGATTTAATCGAGCAGCAGGTAAACAGGTTTGAGGACAAGTCGTCTGGAGTCACAGAAGACGAGGCCGGCTCAGTGCATCAGTGCAAACTGTGCAATCGGACTTTTGTCAGCAAACATGCAATCAAGCTGCACCTTTGTAAAACTCATGCAAAGTCTCCGGAGGACCACCTGGTCTTTGTGAAAGAGATGGAAAAATTAAGTTAAACCATGAACTCTAGTCAAGTTAATAGCACGACAGATTATTGTTGCACTATAATTCTAAGCTACAATCTGTCATAAAAGATAGTGCCACAACTGGATCAAGCATTTTACAACACAGTGGTATAATAGCTTTAATGCCACTTTATGTAAGTAGTTTTGACGGAGGTGCACAGTGGGGACAACAGCCATGGCACTATATATTCACTGACTGATTGTTGCTTTTCTTAATGCACTGCATCGTACCTGAGCCTTTGGGAAATCCTCTGATAAAACTGGACATGCTCTTATTTTGGTCACAGTTTTTGAACAATCTTTTGATATTCCAAGACAACTTGCATTTTCATTATGACTGTGCATGTTTTATGTAAACATACAGTATTTGACCCAAACAAAAATGTCCCCGTCAAAATTGATGTACTACCGTTTCTGTAACAATGAAGGATTATGGAATTGATAGGCCAATGGCAGATATGTTTAAATCTGGTGATATTTCCATTGAAATTAGCACTTTAAGAAAGTGTAAATTAATTAATGTATGTATGACAGACTTGGTGAGACCTGAAACCTGAACAACTATAATTTTGTACTTGACAAAATTCTCACAAAAATCTTGTTTCTTGTACAATAATTATCATTTCTGCATTGTTTCAACATGTACAGTATTTGTGTTGGTAAAAGTTATATTCATGTGAAGCTGATGTCTGATGAAGTTAAAATCTTATCATACAAGTACTCAGCAAGTATGTATACAGTATGTATGTATACATGTATGTATACATGTATATCGACATATCTTGCTCTTCACAATTCAACATTATTTGTACTGTGTGCATTTTTATAATGTTGTTTTCTAAACCAATATGGGAAGAAATGTAAAAAGCTTCAAAATATTGTTGGGACCAAAATGTCCTTTTTCATTGAATATGGTTCCTCTGAAGAAATGTCTTGTGTACATGAAGTGTACATAACATGGAAATTGTCACACAATAGATTTGCAGATTTTATCAACTCAGTTATTCAGAATGACTTTCTTTTATTCTTGGTTGTAAAATAAAGTCCATGTTCTGATCTATGTTGACCTGTCATTCTTCAAAAACAAATGTTTAGACTAGGAACAGGATTAAGTAGCACCTACCTGTTTATATCCTGCAGTTTGGGACCAAATCCCATCTTCTGTCAACATAATGCATGTATTTTTTATGATATACATTAGTGAAGTTGCTCAGGATCTTTGTTAAGGTCAGTTTACTCTAAATATATTTATAGCAAGGGGATAGCAGGGCTGTTTACCTTGGGTGACACTTCACATACAAATGGCATTTGGCACAAAAATAGTCCCAGTTTGGCCCTTATTGGAGATGTCCACTGCCCACTCAGGACAGGGGCTCCCCCTGAAGGAGCAGTATCCCTCTGGGCACAGAGGGATCCTTCAAACTCACATGCACCACCACCCCAGACTGTGGGCTGGCTCCAGTCTCCCCAGGTGTCAAGCATCTCTGTGTAAGTGATGGTGACAGTCCCAAAGCAGCGGACCCTCAGAGCTCTGTGGAGTGGGCCTGCAGAGGGGCGGGTTTACTGTATGTGCTTTTGAATACGGTCCAAGAGCCAGAGTGGGGGGCCACACCAGTCCTGAAGAAAGGCTCCAAATCCCCCGGCTGACAGACACAATTAACAACATTATTTTAACAGTACAAGCCTCAGCAAGAATTGTTTAGGTCTCAATGATTAACTTTACATTGTATCTTAATATTGCATTTTATTTGTTTTTGTTTTTTTCACCACCCAGACCTTAGGGCTAGGTGACTATCTACAGAGTTACTTAAAAACATCACAACATTATAGCATTTTCAAAAGAACAACTTAAAACATCATTAACAAGACTAACTCATTTAGTAAGATCTATTAACATTATGACTCGAGATGAGAGAGAAAAGTAGCCGTTTCAAAGTCAGTTGTTCCACTGAAGGAAATCCTGCAATACCTATCTGAAATGTTAAAAAACAGTTTTCGAGTTAAATACTTGCCATTGCTCATGAGGTTTCAACATTACAGAGGGCTTAAGAGAGACACCTGATAAAAGAGGCCGTGGCATGTCTCCACTGAAGGTATTTAAGTCGACATGCTCCCACCTCATGCTGCTCTTGAACACCAGCCCCGGGCACTTTTTTCTGTATTGTCAAGAAACAATGGAGTTGGAGCGCCTGGCAGCATGCTGTGTGCAGCAGAAACATTAGACGCTGCACAGAGGGGCTCACACGAGGGACCCCAGATAAAAGTCAGAGAGAGGGAGCAACAGGCAGGACAGAGGGAAGGTCTACGAGTGACTGAATAGATTGGATACAAACTGCAGTCTTATAGTTACTGTAATGAACTGAAAACATCAAACATCTATTCCATGAGCTTTGACAAAACAATGCACAGATGCTTAATTTTCAGGTCATTAAAAACTTAAGCAAAGCCCTCACAGTGCATTTTAATATCTAGACACCTTTTATTTTGTAAAATAAAAGAGGTAAAATAAGTTAACTGATGAATGTTGCAAAAACAGTCACATGGTAATAACTTTCATGAGTGAGCAAATGTAATTGGGATTAAAGTCACTGATTCAGGCTCAAACTGTCATTTGCGTTTGGAATATCACCCACCCTCCCAATTCTTTAGACATTTACTGGTATATCTGGGCAACTTTTAGCTGACAGCTAAAAACCTTGAGATCCTGGTTTGGTCTCCTATAAAAATGTGATGTTACACAATCTGAACTGCAGCTCCTTACTAACAGTGCTCCCTGTCCTGTTCACATCACTTATTGCGATTACAGTTAACGCTGCTAACACGCCAGCGACATGTTTTTGTATCTGTTTCCAAGACGTACTCGTGAACATCTTTGTCTTGTCACAGAGACACAAAAGCTCCCCGTATGCCTGTGTCAGACTCCCCATGTTTTGTTTGTTCTCTCTTGACTCTTGTTTGCTTTAAAGCAAACACAAAATAAATTGGCTCAGTGTCATCGCCATTAGCAGCCCAACAGAGGCGCGTGAGACAGCCGCACCAATCTGACGCTCCACAAAAGGCTGTTTATGACAAGAGCCGTCGGGATGGAGCCTGTTATCCCTTTACAATAATCGCAACGGAAAAGCCCTGAGCCGCTCCGAGCCACCCTGCTAACATCTGTAAATCCATCCTCAGCCCTGCACACAAGCAACTGCAGCCAGAGTGCACAGACACAGACTTGTGTAATGTGGAGTCACAGGAGGCAACAGACGACTTAAACACACCCGTACTAACTTGAAAAGGCAACAATTTAAAGAAGAATTGTTATGGCTCTCTCTTTTGGGTTTGCATGACATTTTTGTTAAAATTATGTGCAAATATTACTACTGCAAGCAAATGTGATCAGTGGTGAAATGAAGACTGTATACGTATGTGCTGTTTGGAATCATCTTGAATTTGGCGCCATCATCTTTTCTAATCACATGTACCCAGTTCGCTCAGAGTTGTGTGTCAGGGGGGAAATGGTTCTTTGGATTTGGCATTGGAGATTGTTTTCTTTTCTGGTTCAGACATTAACTCCAGACACCTTTTCATTGAAAATTTTAATGTGGGTGTGAGTCACTTTGTTTTCAAATAGCTGTATCCACACAGTGCACCACCTGACCTGGGAATCAAACCTGTGACTTTCTTGGTTTGAGGCCAGAGTGGGTGGTTTTTACTCTGGTTTACTGACCTTTTCAGAAGCTTGTTCCCATTGCCTCAAATCAGCGCATGTTAAACTCTTATGAGTGTAGACATGCTTATAACTTGAGTAAATTCAGTCAGTTTTTTTCTACTAAGGAAAAGTTGTCATGCTTGATATTTATCATTTCCATTATTCCTGTGGCAGGTGTCTAACCCAGTGAACTTGTTTCTCACACTCAAGTGTTTACAACAAATGTGACCGACTTTTCCTTGTGTCTGACAGCAAAACAATAATATAGCACCTTGAAATTTGTGAACACATTAAGTTTTGGATAGTGAAGGATCCAAATCATGGGAGACATCTCGTCATGGACAGAGAGGCTGAACATTGTTGCTTTGTTGACACATTTGTCCCGCAGAGATCTGCAGCAGAGGAAGCAGTCAGGAGCGTCTTGTAAAGTGTTGTGTACCTGTCAGGCATGAGCCTTGTTTCCAAGATACGCACGACGTAATTCGTCAGGCCGGGGAAGGTCCTGAAGAATGGAGAAGTGACAAACAGGATTCTTACGAGAATAATGACGGCTGCCACAGCACAGAATGGATGGAGTGTCTTTTAGGATTTATCAAAGAGTGGAGTGTTTCCTGTAGTGATGGTTTGTGTTGGACCACAGGTGGGAAGTGTGGCAGCCACGAGTCCATGTCAAACTTGGAGACATTTGAGCAAGTGTCAATTTCAGTCCTTAATTAAATTTGTCTTTTTTTTTTTTTTTTTTCAATCTACAACTGTAACACTGTTGAATCATATCACAGGTAACACTGACAAACATGAATACAAATGTGCTTTTGATATGGTTTTATTAAAATAATAATAGTAGAAAATAATGAAGTTCTCAGTATTGACACTGTTCTAGAGCTGAGGACTATATATTTTTAAGTTCAGTGAAAACAAATATTTACGTTTACTTTTTAATATTTAAAATTCATCATAAAGGCACATCCACAAATCAACTGGAATAAATGTAACTTCTAAAATATTTTTGCAGGTTTTGGACTGTAGTTGTACTATAGCTTTATCACAACATAACTTTATTAAGTTACAGAGATAATGTCAAACTCTATTTTATGCACACAACTCTAACCACACATGTATTTTGGTGTTTTTGAATGTTCAGCTCAGTGCATCATGTTGTCAAAAAACAAATCGCTGTGTTCCGGTTGGTGTCGCCCAATTCAGGACCTGAGCACGAGGTAAATAGGTTACACTCATGCTACTCTAGTTCTATTCACAAATTCCTCATTATTTTCAACTATTCCTGGTTACAGTTGCC